AGTCTACGATCAACTGCTGAAGACGTAAGTATGAAATAGTCCTAAATTTGATTATCCTTTTTTTCTAATTAATTTCTGTAGACCATTTTTGAAAATAAATGTTGTTTTTCAAGGTCGATGACGGTGTCTTATTACAAAAATTGTTATGTATAAATATTTTTGCAAAAGCGTAGTTTATATCATGCTGTTTGAAAGAAAATGATAAAATGTATGGGTCAGTAAGCTTCTTCAAGCTAAAGGTAGTAAACATTTATAGATTTTGTAAACATTGTACATAAACAACTTTTCTTTGAATAGAAAGAAAACTAAGTGATATAATTTAAAATAAGATATGAGAAGATAGTTCTTATAATGTTTTCTTTCCAAAAAATAATAAATTATTTAATATTTTTTTTATAAATCAAATTATTATCTGAATTAACTCCCCTTATAAGGCTACGGTTTTTTTTTCAAATTGAAACCAAAAAAAAATATGTATTTGTAAAACCAGCCGATTATATATCATATAATTATTTTCATCTAAATGAAAAGTCCATCATATGAATTGCATTTATGTTTCAAAATTTGCATATTTCATTTAAGATCTAAACCGATTTTTTTCTGTTTATTTCAAACAATGTCAATGGAAGCCCCGTCACTTTACGAAACACGTTCTATTTAAAACAGCGATTTAAGGGAAAATTAAGATAATCAGAAAAGCGTTCATTATCACTGAACTAGTATATATATTTGTTTAGGGGCCAGCTGAAGGACGCCTCCGGGTGCGGGAATTTCTCGCTGCATTGAAGACCTGTTGGTGACCTTCTGCTGTTGTCTGTTCTATGGTCGGGTTGTTGTCTCTTTGACACATTCCCCATTTCCATTCTCAATTTTATTTTTTACAGAGTTTGTCTTTAGTGCCGTGTGGAGACAGTAGAGTGCCTCCCCGTGCTTCAGGTTTATGCTCTTATAATATACTAGATTATGGAGTGTGTGTCCGAGCGAGAACTTCTCTAGTTCATTACTTTAGGAATATTTATCAAAAAGTAGTATTTCAATATTCAGCCCCATTCTACTATTTAGTCAGACGTCAGTCGCTACCCTGATATACCCTTTCTTTTTCGGGTAATTAATACGGATAGCGTTGACATCTTTAGCCGAACAGATTTATCATTTTTACATAATTTAATTCATTGTATGCTGGTTCATATTCTGGACGCCAGTCTTTGCTCCTTTCTAATATAATTCACAAACAAAAAACAAATATGAAGCTTAGAAATGGAAAAATATTAAATACTAAACTCGTTCAAAGGGTATCTACACGTCTCAATCTTCAAAATCGCTTATCTAAAAATACTACCATCGCTAACATTTTCAACAATAAAAATCGTGGTTACCCTTCTATCGATAAGTGTCATGCCAAAAAATGACTTACATGTCCCCGTCTTTCCATCAACAATACGGTAAGGTCCACGTTTAATGGTCGCACATTTTCTTTAAATTTTGAAACTGATATAACTTGAAAAACAAACAGTATAATTTATTTACTCACATGAAACAAACCGGGATGCGGTATTCAGTACGTAGGTGAAACTGGACGATATTTATCTAAACGCACTCAAGAACATCTGTATCGTTTTAAAAGACCCAATAAATTCAAAAGTATCATTTATCAACACCTTAAGAAGCACAATCATCCTATTAAATATTTAGCAGTTCAACCTTTAGAAGTAGTAAATAAGCAGCCTGGTGAATCTCATTCAAAGTTTGTACGATCGCGGAAAATAATTGAATTAAATTGGATTAAAAAATTACAGACAGTCTACCCTCTCGGTCTTAATGATAATATCATGGGAATTGGTAATATATCAAGAACCGATTCTGTTAACATTTTGGATATAGTTTCTAAAACTGTTCGTAAAAACCGTTCTCATGGTCGTAGAAAAAATCGCAATCAAAGAAAATTTCGGACCAATCATACCAATATTTCGGACCTAATTTCTATTTCAAATAACAACGGCAGACATTATCTGTTAACAAAGCTCTGTTCATTACCGGTTAATAAGTTAAATAAAATTTTAGAGGATTGCAACACAATTTCATATAGCAGTCCTAAGTATGAAATCGTTCAAATTATAATGGCATATTGTTATTCTAAACTGTTTCCCAAAATTGATCGCCCTGAAGATCATAAAAAACAGTTTATTAAAATAAAGTATGTCAATAAAGGTTTTGATTTTGTAAATATTGCCGGTATTTTTAACGACCATTCTGTTAAAGAACAAATTCCGGGATATTTTGATAATACTGAGCTCCCTCTTATTTGTTATATTTACAAGATATCTACCCGGAAATTTGTGTTTAATTATAGCCAATTGTGTAAAGATGTTAATATCAGTGAAAATGCACCTACTTCATGTAATTGCAGTAATTCCGAATACATTTATGGACCCATTTCCCATGTTATAACAGGAGATCTTAACATCGTTCAAGACCGAGAGTTAAAATCATTCCTCAGTAAAGGACCTAAATATCGTCCCCCGTCAATTATTAATTGGAATGAGTGTCGTAATATCATCCACGACTCACTCCATACTTACTGTTTGAAATGGATAAAACGGGAAAAAGCTGACAAAAAATCTTTGGACTCTTTTTTCAAATCAGTAATGAACATAGTTGATATACGTATTCAACATTTTAAAGAACATTTTACTCTTAACAATAACCACAATAAACCTATTTCTCGTATCAAACATAAACTAAAAGAACTAGCCAAGGAATTTGTTTTTGTCCCGGCCGATAAAGCTGCTAATAATATTATTATTGTTTGACGTAAATTTTACATTGAGGTTCTGAAAAGAGAAATCACCAATTCACCAACATTCCAATTGACTCCATTTTCAGAAAACGACATCTGTAACAAACATAAACTTTTAGCTACCGCTTTACAAGCAGAACCAAATACAATGAAAGTCCCAACTATGTATTGGCTTCCGAAGCTACACAAAACACCTTACAAATATAGATTCATTTCGTCTTCAAGCCATTGTTCCACTACTAAATTGTCTATTCTTCTTACCAGTACACTTGGTACAATCAAAAACCTGATAATAAATTGTTCAAATAAGGCCTTCGAAAATAGTGGAATTAATTACTTTTGGAGTGTCAAGAACTCGTTGGAAGTACTTGATAAATTGCATGCATATATTGGTGATTTTGAATCTGTTCAAAGTTTTGATTTTTCTACCCTATATACCACATTGCCTCACATTCTCATTAAGAAAAAATTCACACACCTAATTAAATGGGCATTTAAAAAGTCAGAATGTGAATATATATGTTCAAACTCTTTTAGGTCATTTTTTAGTAGCAATAAACAAAAAAACTATGTCAATTGGACATGCTTTGATACTATATATGCCCTTGAATTTTTACTAGATAACATTTTTGTTCGCTTTGGAGATTCCGTATATCGTCAGGTTATCGGAATTCCAATGGGGACTAACTGTGCACCACTTATTGCGGACCCTTTTTTTGTATTGCTATGAGTTACAATTTATGACAAAAATCAGCAAAGACCCATCGAAACAACATCTGATACACAAATTTAATAATACTTTTAGATATTTGGATGATATTTTGGCTCTCAATAATGACAACTTCAGTATGTATACTAAAGAAATTTATCCTGTTGAACTTACTTTAAATAAAGCTAATACTAACAATGACCACTGCCCTTTCCTCGATCTTGATATCTATATCATTAACGGAAAGCTTAATACTAAAATATATGATAAAAGAGATGATTTTTCATTTCCTATCGTTAATTATCCATTTTTAGATGGTGACGTTCCCTTGTCACCATCTTACGGTGTTTATATATCTCAACTTGTACGATTCGCTCGTGTATGTAACAATGTTTTAGATTTTAACGAGAGAAATTTATGTATTACTGAAAAATTATTACACCAGGGTTTTCGATATCACAAACTAGTCAAAACATTCACTAAATTTTATCATCGGTATAAGGACATCATTCGTAAATATAGCTCAACATGCAGACTTCTTATACGTTCAGGTATTTCACATCCAATTTTTTATGGAAATATTCTTTATAAAGCACAAAAATGTCAGTATTCACCTCTGAAGCTAACAAAACCTTTAAATAGACTTATTAAGAAGGGATATAGTTACGATACTGTTGTCAGGTCATTAAAGATTGCATATTTTGGCGTTAATATTGATTCACTTATAGGGTCTTTGTATCGGCACTAAACACATTTATTTAAAAACCAGTTGTTGGCATGACACGGGTTATGTTCTTCTCATATATGTTATGATGGTATGATACTAAACCCCTAACGGGAAGGATTGTGCCTGATATTCATATGATGAAGACATAATCTTTCAATCAGTTTAATTGAAGTCTGGAGCTGGCATGTCAGTTAACTGCTAGTAGTCTGTTGTTATTTGTGTATTATTGTCATTTTGTTTATTTTCTTTGGTTACATTTTCTGACATCAGACTCGGACTTCTCTTGAACTGAATTTTAATGTGCGTATTGTTATGCGTTTACTTTTCTACATTGGCTAGAGGTATAGGGGGAGGGTTGAGATCTCATAAACATGTTTAACCCCGCCGCATTTTTGCGCCTGTCCCAAGTCAGGAGCCTCTAGCCTTTGTCAGTCTTGTATTATTTTTAATTTTAGTTTCTTGTGTACAATTTGGAGTTTAGTATGGCGTTCATTATCACTGAACTAGTATATATATTTGTTTAGGGGCCAGCTAAAGGACGCCTCCGGGTGCGGGAATTTCTCGCTGCATTGAAGACCTGTTGGTGACCTTCTGCTGTTGTCTGTTCTATGGTCGGGTTGTTGTCTCTTTGACACATTCCCCATTTCCATTCTCAATTTTATAAGACATAATTATTAAAGGTATTATATAGATAATTGCATAGTAAAACTTAATATGTTGGCTCCTTTACTATTTATATATTGTATACATTTTATTTCCAGGTACGCTCCATCATAAGAAATCCATGGGCACATTGTGACTTCACAAAATGGGACTCAATGAAGTTTTCATCTTGTTTCAAGCTTATGAAACAGATCATAAAAGACTTGAAACTAAATGCTTCAGATGAAGTTTCGATTTTGAAAGATCTGTCCAAATGGGAAAAAAGTGGTAAATCTTTTATATAGTTGAAATTGATATTGTGAAAATAAATTGAAAGATATGATTACGGATAAATAGACTTGTTATGCAAGGGCTTTGAAAAATTAAACTGTGAATTTAGAAAAAATAACAATAAAAGCTAAAGGAAAATCGCAAATTGTCATTTTAAATTCATAGAATATTTTAAGATACTACGTTTATTCGTGTTATATAGTACCAATTCCATTTATAACCGTTTACAAGAAAGAAATTTTAAAACGTTTTTTTTTTTTTTTAATTATGGATGATTACGATGAAAGGTTAAAATAAATTGCACAGTAGCATTGATAACTTTTCTTGGTTTCTCCTACAGCTAAATATCGAGAATTGCTAGTCATTCTTAATCAATAAAGTATGTAAGTCCTTCTTGTGTACTGCTGTAATTTATATTGATCCATGTACTGATTGTAGTTTACGTAACCTATATCGGCAATTATTACATGAATGTTCAGGGAGAGAAAAAATAAAAAGGTTCGGGAATTCTGGACTGCCATTTCAAAATAAGGATATGCTTGATTGGGTCTGTTATTGGCCTTGGCATCAACAGACTCCTCAGAAAATCGTTGCAATGTATTCTTAACGTGCGAAGAGCGTGGCACTCACTTCACGATGCTTTTATAATTGAAACTTTTTTTTTTAGTTTAAGCAAAGTGCAAAAAAACGTTTTCTCTTCAAATAATCTCCATATGAAGAAAAACATCATTTGTTCTTACATCAGCATTTCATTTCCATTAGTCGAAAAAAAAACAGACAGCCATCTGATAAGATTGAACATAATCCCGCGTTTAAAGTCAATTAACAAAAATGACTGGATTTATTTTCTCTTTATCTAGGGATTGGATTATATAGTAATTCTTCCTGTACGTTCAGTCGGCGGTTCAACTCAGATTATTAACACACAAAAAAGTGAAATCAAATATAGGCCCTGCATTGTGTCAAAACAAAGGAGGGCATTTTTCTTTAAAATTTAAGACTACAATCATTCCGACACAGTCTTACCATCAACTTTTATAAAAAAAAACAAAAAAACTTTGTATTGTATCTCCTTTATTTTAAACTAGTTAATCTTTTCCTGGTAGCTTTGATAATTATTCTAGATTTTCATTAAGCCTTCGAAAGATAAAAAGCGAAAATGTTCACAGATTTGAGTTTTAATACGACTTATGTTTATGTATTTCTAGGAATCAGTTTACTTAGCGGTACACCGATTGGCCTAGAACTAGTAAATGAGATTCGTGAACAGACACGTGATTTAGCTGAATATGCGCAAACTGTTGTCTCGAGTGCAGATGGCAACATAGTTAAAATTCAGAAGGAATTGGTAGAAATGACAAAAAGATTTTATGATAGAATTACCTACATTGAAAAAGAATTAGAAAAGAAAACTGAAGATGACAAATTGATGAAAGACCGCCTTTTGTGTTTAGAAGAAAAGAATACATTGCTTGAAACAGAACTTGAAAGACGTGATCAAGAAACAATTCCGAAACATAAAAGAGGTAAAATTTGTTATAAATACTTTATCTTTATGTTATTTATCACTTACAATAATCAAAGTCGGTTTTATAGCATTTCATGTCATTATACATTATAGTTCCTATGACGTGTTGGTTTTCGTTTGTAACGCGTTAGTTTCACTTTTATTAACGCGTTGGTTATCACTTTTATCGCGTTGATTGTAAAAACTAACGCGTTAATTCGTGATTCATACGGTATGAAAAATAATCGCGTAAGTTTTCCAAACTATACCGTTAGTTTTCACTTTAAACGGTATAGTTTTTTTTCATTTTATACCGAAAGTTCTGCATTTGTGTCAACCAATCAAAATCTTTCTTACAAATGAGGAGGTCCGATAAGGGCTAATTTTGGCCTAAAATTTGAAGTACATCTGATGAAAGATTGTTATCTCAAGTGTCTACTTCATTCGATTCAATTAGTATATGTACATGATTTGAACTGATTTGGTTATTAAAGACGCTCAAATTTAAGCTTCAATATGAAAAATCTATCAAAGATGGTTTTTGTCTAAAATGTAAGTGGCTGCATTCGTGTTCAGTCTAAACCTTTATATATGTTATGTATAATCATCAAATACAACATATGTTTAAATATTAAGACTGAACACAAGTGTGGCCACTTCCATATTCGACAAAAACCGTCTAAAAATTAGCACAAATGCTAAAATTGTGAAGATTTCAGTAATTTTACATGAATTACTGATGCTAGTACTTGATGAATATGCATTGTATTGTCAAAAACAGCCCATATTTATGAAACTAAAGTATTCTACTTTCCAATAAATAGCTAAAAGTTGACATTTTAAACAAATTGTAAAAATGTTATATTTTGGGGGCAAAAGGGGGTCTTACCGGGCCTACTCCTTTCTTCAAAACTGGTTCTTTTAATTCTACGCTGAAAGAATATGTATATAAAACTTTGTTGCAATGTTCACAATGTTTGTATTTTTTGTTCCTTTATTATATATAAATCTGTAAAAAAGATAAAAATACTTACACCAGAACATGCATTTCAACTCGTAAGTCGTTATAGCCCGGTGACCAGAGTCAGAATTTTCAAAAATTAATCGTCAGAACTACTACACGGCTATATCATATATCATTCGATTCGAAAATGTGTGTTTTAAATTTAATTCGGTCGTCAAAACAAAATATGGTGCAGTTTTTCAGAAATCAAGATCACAGATCACTAACCATTCTTATGAGAAAAAACATTGAATAATTATTTCAAATTTAAATACCCTTTTTGCAGTAGAATGATTGCAAACTTGCATCTGTTTTCTTTCTTATTCAATTTTTCAGTCAAAAAAGTGTTAACCATCATTAAATGAGTTTCCTGAGTAAACGTATGTGATTTTAAAAAAGGGGGTTATTTTCATTTTAAAAGTATGTACTTTTTAAAAAGATAAAATCAACGGCCGCCAAAATTATACAAAATGTATAAGATAATGTATAGACAAATAAGAAAAAAATATGTATTTATTTATATAACTATCTAGTATACCTCAATGAAAGTGGAAATTTTGAGTTTTGGGCATATAGGTTGAATTTGGTACATGGCAAACTGGCAACAAAAGTTCTTTCAAGACAAACTAATATTTGAGTTTAAACATTGTCATGACTTTTTTTAAATAGGATGTATCAGTAGGAACATACATCATTATAAAATAGACTAACAACTTTAAAAAGGCATTTTGATTACTAGAACCGCCTTTTATCCGTTTAGAAATTGTTTCGGCTGTTCCATCCCAAACTTAGTGACACAAGACAAGAAAATCTCTTCAAGAAGGATAATTTAATATTACACTAAACATTCTAAAAAATTTACTTTAATAAGTAATTCAGACCTCAAATGACTACTGTATTGTGGGAACGTATTTACAAGGTTTTGACCCTTGGCTGGAACATATATATTCGTACATGCAAGGTTGAGCTAAATAAATTACTAATATCAACATTGGTCAAAAGTTTCCCTATAGTTGTTAATGAACACGACAAAATTCTTAAACCACAAATCCTAATAATATTGCGTTTATGAATGTTACGCTTCGGATATTTGACTTGTTCTGCAATGGACTAGAGTGCTGGTCGATTGTTTGTGTTGAACATGTATCGTGCTTTTTGTCCAGCATCATAGCACATTTCAAGACACATCTTCATTGCAGAATACACTTTGGGCATATACATATAAAATTGTGGGAATATAAAACAACTGTAACATCGGGGCTTCTAGGACAAATGACAAATGAACCCTGTCCATGTAGAAAGAAATAGTTGGTCCTGCTGGCAACTCTAAATATCCTTCAACAAAAGTCAAGAAAAAACCCATCTCTGATCAACAGTATACACTTGCCATGATCACATGATTGTCGTGATTGTTCTGCCCTACAGCCTAATATATTAAATTGATTTGATATTTAAAATAGGGTTAGCATTAATATAGCACTGCTTATGGTAAAACGCTTGTTCTGTAAATATGCATTTGTAATTAATGAATAAAGTTTGATTCGCCGTAAAGTGATAAAACGGTAGTAAGGCAAGTTATCATTTACCTGAATCTATGAGTTCGTTATTTCTTGTCTTGCGTGTAGTTTTTTTATTACAATATATGCAAGCATATGAAAAAAATTAAATTGCTTTAAACTTTGTTACCCGTGTTTTTAAGCAAAAACTGAGGGAATCCTATGGACTTCAAAAACCCCGAGGGTATCATCTGCTCAGTACTCCGTTACTGACATGATTTATAACAAACCTTTCTAAAATTGTCCGTTTATGATTTTTTAAATTATAAAGAAACTAAGGTTTCAACTCCCTCAGGCAAAGTTGACCTTAGATTAATTTGGCTACTTTAAGGTCCTTTTTGGTCGTAAAGCTCTTCAACTGTTTCGGTTCTTATACATCTTTTGCTTTCAAATATTCGGCTTTGACCGTCCTGATGAAGGTGAATCCAGATAACGCTTCGAACTCTTAAAATTTATAACGTGTTGTTTCATTTTTTTTTCAAAAGAGTAGAGATCGGATGCGTCAACAGCATATACGTCTTCTGCTATGTATACATTAGTCGCCATGCGAATCACAATCAGTCAAAATGTCACAAAAATGGTACCCAAATGGTAAATTTCCAGATCTGATCTGGTACTTAGTATTTGAAAAGATGTTGCTAGTGAGTTGAGACAAGGCAAAGCTTAACGGTAACGCAATTCGTGATAGTGACTTTAAAACTTTGTGTCCACTTCAGTAGCCTGTTCTTCCTCATATATATGCTATACATATAACCGAATTTTTATTTACACGAGCATTACACATGTGGATCAGAATCTACTAACCGTTCTTGGACACATGAAATAACCACCAGTTTTTAATTAAGTTCGTGTTGATCAGTCTTTAGTTTTCTATGTTGTTTTTTGTAAAATTTTATTTGTTTTTACGCCGTTCTTCGACGTTTGCCATGGCGTTGTGAGATTGTCTTCGACTATTTAGTTTGAATATCCCTTTGATATCTGCCTTTTTTTTTAAGCAGTTTTGTGTCAGGAGCACACACCTATTTATGAAGTCTGTACTGTGTCAACATGCACGAGCGTAAAGTATCAATTGATATATGTAAACACCATACGATGGCGCAGAGGGTACGCTTCTATTGAGAACTGGGACATTGACATTGGAAATCTAAAATCATCTTGTGACGTTTGTCATATATTTTTGTTTCAAGTCGTCAATCTGTGTCAATATCAAAGAAAAGGTCAAGATATAAAGCAGCCATTATAGATTCGGTAGAATCTTTTATCACAAGCTCACTGGGATATATGAAATGTAAGCTCTGACTGAAATGAGGGTTAAAGAGTGACAGGACATCTTCATATATCTGAACTTCAAATTAAAGAACTAGGCAAAATGGTTTTCTTTAAGTCTTTGAGAAGGTTCTGTATTTCCAATTAGAATTAGGACAGCAAACACCGTTATGTAATGTTGACTTATGCTTCATTCGTATGATCTTTTATAATAAACAATTTCAAACTTCCCTTCGGTATAGTATATATCATATGAACCAAAGTCACAATCATCAATTTCGAATAAATTTCATCTTTACACCTATCAACTGTGTCAAAATACCGCATTAACTGTTAGGGGTAAATTAAACAACAGTCTCACTTCTGCTTTTGAGAACTATACAATTGAAAAACTTATTTTGCCTCGTATATAAATAAAACTACAACAACACAACCTCAAAAAAGAATAACGAACACCAAAAAAAATCAAAGAAACAATAAAACTTCAACAAATATAAACTAAACGAGGAAAATTAAGCATTTTAGAATTTAAGATATTTTAAAAGTTTTAAAAAAATTGTTAAAAGGATCTTATTTCATAAACACTTGTGTATATGAAAAGAGAAATTGCAGTTTTAATAATTTTTAGTTTTATAGCAGTTACGATACAATTTATACATTACAGTTTTATTGTATGATACTGGAATCCGGTGACACACAAAATGTCCCATTTACAGCACTTTGTACCTTCGTAATTTGTCATCAAAAGGCTTTTATGATTAGTTTTTTTCGATTAATGAATAAAGCAGTATGTGTGATATTTGAATAAAATAATAACATAAATATATTTGAGTGCAGCCTTTGAAAAACAAGTCAAACTGCATGCCACTCATGATCTGCATTTTTAGTCAAATTTGCTAGTTAAATGCTAGAATTAACGAAGCTGCATCATACGACCTTTTGACGACCAATCTCAAATTCAAATAAAATCATTATTCTAAGACTGTTCAATTTTTTAGCCGTGTAATATGAAGTGAAATTAAACTCTTTTAATAATCGATTTTTTTCCTATTCCGTCACCGCAGATTTATAGATTTATATAATTATAATAATGGAAAAATATTATAATTATTTTGAACATTGCATTTAGGTTTTATATATAAAAAATTCTGTACAGATATTATAATATGTTCAATAAAAAATTAACTAATTCTT